CGCACTTGAAACCTCCATGCGTCCTACCCATGTGAGTCTTCTCCTAACTTTCTGTTTGGGTCACTAGAAAATCTTATTCAACAAGAATATGGAACCAATAGTTTTGGTTCACTTTGAGTTTGACTTGGCCCTTACTTTTCTTTATAGAACCAAATATGGGTCTTAGAGCTTCTTGATTTTTTTTTCCCTTTTAATTTCTTAGTGACCAAACAATGGATCTCTCAGGAAATGTTGGGATTTTGAATTTCTTTCACAATTTTGAGCATTTGTTCATGTTTTCTTATTGGGTTTGTTTGAATATTGGATAGTATACATTTTTCCCCGAAAGCACACATGAGAACGTTGATAAGACGTTGTAGGTAGCGGAGGTTATATGTGTGTTGAGAGTTTTTCCTTAAGTCCTTAGAAGTCATTTTATAAAAGGGCAAATTTGTCTTTAAAATTTTGAAGATAAGGTGGGTGGGAAAATAGCACAGGTGGGTGGAAATAGCAACACTCTTTACTTATCAACACATGAAAGAGCATATGCATTTACCATCAGCACAACCTCCATAAATGGCTCATTCCTTTTTCCTACACATATCCAAATAGTGTGGGTGCCATCTATGTGACCTGTACCTATAAAATTATAGATGATTCAACTTTATTTACCTTAAAAATAAATTTAAAAATAATAATAATAATGTTTGGCTCCTGAAAGAGGACTTCTTCTAAAATGAACATGTGGTCAATTGAAAATGGACACTTGCCCAAACAATGATAAATAATAAAAACTAAATGTGAAAAGTAACACCAAGAGACTAAACTTGAATTAATGTTCACAAGGTGTAAAAGTCTCTAAATCATTTTCAAATATATATATATATATATATATAGTCCCCTTCTATTGAGGAATTCCTTAAATAATTTTATTTGAGGGTTGACCTTTAGGGTGTCCTATAGTTTTTTTTTCCAATGATCAAAACTATCTATTTTTTAGGTCTTCATTCACAGATCATCCTTATAAAAAATTAGACAAATCGAAACCCGTTTCGACATCCAATTGTGTCATACAAAATCAATGAGCACGGTGCTTCAAGAAAGTACTAAAATTTCAATAACCTAATTGAGTGGTCAAATGATATCGGATTTAAGTGATTTTTTGTAAAGATGATCTTTGAATGAGTATCTACAAAATAGACGGTTTGGATTAGTGAAATACAATCTGGAGTTGGCCCTACAAGGAATGTACCTCAAATAAGCTTATTTAGGGGATTCCTCAATGGAAACTCTCTGTGTATATATACCCTTCTTTTTGAGATAGAAAATAATATATTAAATTCATACACATTACACGGATGCTAGGACTCGAACCTATAATTTTTCTTTGGGAGGCAAATACTCCAAACCACTACACTAGTAGGTCATTTGCATAAATATATATACTTTTAGATTAATGGGGGAGTGGGGAGTCACATCTGGAACATTTTCCAATAAAAGAAGTAAGAGGAAGATAAATTCAACATGAGAGGGGGCATCAAAGAAATAACTTTTAATGGAGCACACGATGCAAAATTCATAAACAATTTTGTAGATCTTTCACTTAAAAACTTATAGTTTCAATTTTGGCAATTGAAGTCATATAGTTTGGCTTTCTTTTGTCAAGGGAAATGAAAATTTTCATTACCAAGCAAAAGCATACACTGTCATATGAGAGCCCAAATACAAAAGTGAACAAAATAGAAGTAGGGACTCAACCATATTAACCCAATCCAAAAGACCTAAGTCTAAGGAAAAAAAAAACAAAAAACCCTAAAATCACAGAAACCTTAAACATAGTATCAAACCCTAGGCAGAGGAAGTCAGCGCTGCTGCCGTTGTCTGCACAAGGAAACTAAAGTCCAAACGAGCAGTGAAGGGGATTTCTAAAGTATGGAGTTGGGGTACCAAGGCACCAACATGCATCTATGCTTAAGATATGAATTAAGCATAATTCTTTAAATCAACAACCGAAATTATTGATTTTTTTTAATCAAGTGAAAAACATGGAAGAGGCGAGAATGATCTTTTGGAGTGTAAATCAAACATAAATACTCTCGTATTGTCATAAATGACGATTTGTTGAATAATGTTTGAAAATGTCGATTTTTCATCTTCACATGAAAAAAAAACATCAAATTTGTTTGATTTTTCAACGCATTATATTTAATTGAAATCTTAAGCATACTGGCCTCTAGAGGAGACAAACTCTCTCTCTCTCTCTCTCTCTCTCTCTCACTTTCAAAAGAAGCGAATTTCTCTTTCAACCCCAGCCCCCTTTCTTCAACTCCACTTAGGGGGGACGTGGTCACTGACCCTTCTCCCCTCTCCCCTCTCCTCTTCCTCCCTCGTTCCCTCTCCCCCTTCCTCCCCATAGTCCTCACCCTTTCCCCTCTCTTTCTATTCTCTTTTTTCTGTTCTCTCCCTCCACCTTTATCATCCCATTTCTCTTGCCTTTTCATTCCTCTTCCACCTCTTAAGGAGCTGCTCTGTTTTTGCAGAGCAATTTTCCCTTTTTTTGGTTTTTTTTTTCGATTTTCTTTTTTCCTTTTTATTAGTTTTTGTTTTTCACTTATATTGTTTGCTCTTTCTCTCGTTTTGCTCCCCCCATTCTCTCCTGCCTTGGGCTTTTCGGTGGAGTTGCTCTTCTTTCGGTTTGAGCTTGTTTGGCTATGTCTATGGCTCTCTTTGAGAGTTGGGTGCCTCTTCCCTCTGTGGTGTCTGCTTGAGCCTTTTGCTCTGTGTTAAGAGTAAATGTCTCATGCCAATTTTGTGTCCTTTGTTCTCTGCCAAACAACCTCTTCAACCGGATTTATGTATTTCTCAACTCTTCATCCTCTTTTTGCCTTATACTATTTCGGGATCTAGATTCTTCTTTGGGATACAACAACCATATCTATAAGCGCTTTGTCGCTTATTTCTCAGATTGTATTTAGAGCTTTTGCCATGGTTCTTGCTCTGGTGGTGCTTGCACCAATACTCTCTTTCTGTTGGTGTTGGTCTTTTGGTATACACCTTGGTGTTGTGATTGGTTGTTGTGTTTCTCTTAGGTGCATTGGCAAATTTGGGTGTGTTGGAGAAGGTGACTTTTGGAGGAACGTTCGAGGGCTTATGTGTTTTCGATTTTTGGGGAATATTTATTTTTGGTGGAAGATCGGTAGGTCTTTATGTGCAACAATGCTAACCTGTGTGGTGGTGGTGTATCCCATCCTTTGTGGCCATTATGGTGCGGCCTCCGTCCCTTTTGCGGGTAACGGTAACTTTGTATTGTAATTTGATTTGATTTTGTGATGGGCAGTAGCGGACCCACATAGGTGTAAAGAGGCGCAGGTGCACCTCCCTCACTTGAAAATACCATGGAAGTCAGTCATCTTGAGCTCTTGGATGGCTGGGCAAGATTCCTACAACCTGTTTGTGGAAAGACTGGAGTGAAGAGCAACAATAGCAAGTGCGGCCTATTTTTCTTTTTACTGATCTCGCCAAAATAAATTGTTTTGGACCAGATCAATTAATATGTTTTAAAATCTCCACGTGTTTTATAACATCCCACATCGACCAATGGAGAGGGGGTGATGTGTCTTATATGTACATGCCCGTCTCCATCTTGCACGAGGCCTTTTGCGAGCTCATTGGCTTTGGAGTTATGAGAACTCCGAAGTTAAGCGAGTTGGGTTTAAAGCAATCCTAGGATGGATGACCCACTGGGAAGTTGCTTGTGAGTTCCCAGAAATAAAACCGTGATGGCAGAGTGGGGGGGCTCAAAGCAGACAATATCGTGCTACGACGGAGCCGATCCCGAGATGTGACATGTTTAATTTTTGTTCTATTAAAGACCACATCATGCTGCAACTTTAGTTTGAGGGTAGAGTAGTCATTAAAGTTTGATGGCTTAACCTAAAAACACTTTTTTTTAAAAATCAAATAGAAACTTCATTGGATAAACTTGCATGATGCAAGAACAGTTATTTGGAAATTGTCTAAACAATTTTGTCTAAACAATTGACAATTGACAATATCTTTCAGTTATTTTTGTCTAAACAATTGACAATTGACAAATTAAATTTTGTTGTTGTGTGGAACAGTTAGTCTTTGAAATGTTGCACCTCCTTTTAAAAATTTATGGACCCACCAGTGGTAACGGGGAAAATTTTTATACTAGACTGTAGTGGTTTATATTTAATCTTCTTTGTTTTGTGGTAATTTGTTCCTTTAGTTGGTCTTTTTGGCTTTTGTATTCTCTATTTGTTTCCTCCCCATTTATGATTTTTGGATCAACATGATTGATTATGACCAAAAAAAAAAAAAAAAAAAAAAAAAAAAAAAAGGGAAAAAAGAAGCAAACTATGCACTAGGGCTGGTTTTCAAATGGAATAGATCGGAATCATGGCATTAAAATTTCAATCCAAAAAATTTTGGAATCTGTTCCAAAAAAAATTCAGAATTTCAGTATCCATTACGATTAGGAACATAGTTGAAAATTTTAAACATATCCAACGATTTTAAAAGGTTAAAATTGGCTCAAAATTGAAAAATCATATGAAAAGCTCGAAAACTATTATATGTTATTACTTAGATGTTTTTATCATTTTTGAAATTAATCAACAATGTCTATTTGGTTATTTAGTCATATTTAGTTCAACATGAAATTAGTCATTATGTGTATTCTAAACTTGAAACCCCAATATATTTTGATATTCGTAAGTTTCCGAATCTTGAAATACATTCCATTTCCAATCCTTTTTTTTTTTTTTTTTTGAAATTTTTGGATTTCAAAACTTTCGAATGTAGAAATTGATTTCGACTTGCCAAAATCGAAATTTTCATATCGAAATTGGAATTTCCAATCCAACTTGCACCCCCACTTTAGTTTGACCCAAAAAACTTGATGTAATGTTTTCAACCAGACAAAAGAAACCATGGGTCAGGCGTCATGGCCATGTTTTTGCAATTGTGATAGATAAATTCTGTGCTGCATTCAAATATTTCCTCAATAACTAATTTATTGACCGGATTATTATAACTGCGTGCTTCATCGGTGATCAGCTGACAATTTCCTCCGGGACTGTCAATAAACACCCCAAAATCCCCCAACAAGTTGAGAAGATAATGGTTTGGAGGCTCCTATCAAATTCTGAAATACCCGTTTGTCTCTTTTCACTTTCAGATTCGAAGCTCTGTCTGGTTCTGCTCTAAGCACTTCAACAAGTAAAATTAGCTTTGGGTTTTGCCCAAACTTTCAAGGTTTGCTTCATTTCTTGAATTTCATAGCTACTGATATTGATATGCATATGTTTATAACCATGTTGTTACATTTTTGTTCCCTCTTAGACATGTAGAAGACCCGCGTATGGATTGTGGTTAGCATGATGTTAGAATTATGAGTGCAGTCTACGTATTTGATAAAACTTCTCATAGAAGATTAATTCGTTGCTTGAAGCTGTGCCATTACCGCATCAACTTCTTTGGATTGCGGGATAAAACAACTTCAGTTCACTGTTACATTGAAGCCAACGTTGTATATTTTATTCCTATTGTATAAATAGGTTTTCTTGCTATTCATTGCTGCAGAAAAAAATATAGCTTTGCTTTCACAAAATAATAAAAGAAAAAAGTGAGAGCTTTGCAACACAAATAGATAAACTATTTGAGTTTGAGGAAACTTCATCCCCTAGAAATCAAGCTAGGAAATTGCAGTTGAGAATGCCTTGAAAAAGTTGAAGAGAGAGCCAGATGCGCGATGCATTAATGTATGGGAGGTCATCAGTGACTTAGATATTCTAATAGGATGATTTAAAAATGTAGTTTCAGGACCAGAATATGCAGAGCTTAGACAGGGAGGGCCTAAGATTTAATATTCACTTTTTCAATGATATACAAGCACGTAGGAGAGATCCAAATTATAAGCTCTCAATGGAGTTAAAGTTGAAACCAAAGAGCAAACTAGTTCGTAGAAATCAATGGCAGAAGGCACAATAAGGCATAGTGGAGGTGGGGTGGCTGGGGTTGAGGATGGAGGAGTGGGGGATGGGGTGGGATGGACTGCGTTATCAATTTTTAACATTTTTGGTTTTTTTAATGTTTTTATTTGTATTGTTAATAATTAGAATATTTAATTATGTTTTTATCTATGTGAATGTGAGCTTTGCTTGCCACGTCATCAAAGTTAACAGACTTTTAGATGGAGTTGACGGCAGAGGACAAAATGGGTCAGTAAACCTCGGTCAAGGGATGAAAGTGAGTCATTTTAAGTTTGGGAGGATAAGGTGATATTTGACTGAAGTTTCAGGGGGCATTGGTGCAATTAGTGGTCAGGTTCCATGCATGTTTTCTGTGTCATTTACGTTATTTTGCTTTGGAAGATTGTAGGGTGACATCAAAAAAATGACCCAAAAAACATTAGCTCATTATGAAACTAACCCATTTATGAAAAATATAGAAAAGTGACTCGTTTTGGGCTTGAAAAGACAAAGACACCCTTATTCAACTACACCACTCAATACATTTTCATCTTTGTCTGCTCAAGAATTCCCCTGCCATATTTACTTTGCATGTTGCATTTCATATGAAAACGTGGTCAGAGAACTCCGTTGTCTCCTACAATTGGATACGTAATGTAAGATATCTGTGTCTAGAATCGTTAAAGAACGCTAAAAAGTTTGAATTATTACAAGTGCTCGTCTCTTTTTTGGCTAATCATGTCAAGAGGAATCCTCATTTCAATGGTTCTTATTCTTAAAGAGAAGGAAACTCAAGGAGTTGCTTGAAAACAAACTTGCGTTCGATGGGAATTCCAGCAAAACGTTGCCGTTGATGGGATGTACTTTGAAGATGTTGATGAGGTCAGTGTTTATTTGTTTTCAAAATTGAACTGTACTCACTTTCTACCTCTTTTTCCCACTTCTTTTGCTCAACATCTGCAGTTTGCTCCTATGGTTGAGATGCTGGATGAACCGAGTTCTAGTGTGGCGCCAGCAGTTGAACACTTATTTCTCTCATTCCCTACCATTCAACATCTACAGTTTCACCCTATGGTTGAGATGTTGGACACCCAAGTTGCAGTGAAACGCCAGCAGTCTACGGTTTTCGTCATTAAGTAATGTAATTTATACAAATTTTGTTATTTTTGAGACTGCGTGAGATATTTTTATGTGATGCATAAAAAGAAAAAGCTGATCTCTTGCTGAAATAGTCAAAATATTCTGTCTATCAGAGGAAACCTGTCAATTTTGTTCAAGGAACTGAAGAGCCCTCTCTCATAAAGGCCTTCCACTAAATCAGAATCTGACTGAAGAATTGATTTATCATATCAATAGAATTCTTGACAGAGTTTGAGTTTAATTGATTAAGTTGGTACATATATAGGTGAAAATGAAAATGTCCTAAATCCTTCAACCTTTGAATGAGCTTAGGAAGTTGGCACATCTTCATTTACTCCAACTTGTAAACTACCAATCTTGTATAAACCAAAAGATGCAATGAATAACATGAAAGGAACCCAAAAAAACATGTAAAAAAAATGTGGCATTAGCTCTGTATTAATAATGAATGAAATCAAAGAATGTACATCAAATTACATACAAATTTAGGATAATGAAGTATTACACCAAATTGTTAGAGACGCTTACAAACAAGCTTATACAAAATTCTAACTTAAGAATCAAGCTAAGCAGCACCAAGTATAGGGAAAGCCGATGGCTTTTGGCAAACAGCGGTTCGATTTGGAATGACAGGTCTTGAATCCCAAAGGAAGAATCTGTTGCTCAGAAGGCGACGACGACACCGAAGAGAGTTCCTTTACTGTATCCAGATTAGTCACAAATGGATGATTCAATAGCTTAGCAGCTGTGAACCTCTCAGAAGGGCTCCACACAAAGCACTTTCCCAAGAAATCTTTGCCCTCTTCTGATAACCAAACAGGAATAGTGGGAGATTTTGAAGCAATCTGAAGCATTAGGTCCCAAGGTCTCGCCCCGGCTTTCAAATCCCATGGCTTCCTCCCAGTCAACATCATAAGCACAACACAGCCCAATGCCCAAACATCAGAAGGTTGGAGCTGAATATTTTGAAGCACAGTTTCTGGAGACCAATACAGTGTAGTGCCTCCAGAACGCTTCTCTATAATCCTCTTTGCCAGACCCAGGTCTCCAATTTTGGGCACAAATTCAGAACCACCAGCATCAGTTTTGGAGACAAGTAATATATTCTCAGGCTTCAAATCACAATGCACATAACCCATTTCATGAATGTGCTTAACCCCTTTCAAAATTACCTCTGTATACTTCCTTACTTGAAATTCAGGCAACCCCCCAGACTTGTTAATCAAATCCCTCATTGTTCCTCCATCGGCATATTCCATGAACATATTGAATACCTTATTGCCATCAATACCAGCCGTCACATCCTCTCCATAGCGATGGATGATAAACGGGCAGTTGCTAAACGTCTCAAGAAGTGAATTTTCCCTCACCAACTCAAGCGCATCACAGTATAATGTCGACTTCACCGCGAAAATAGAGGGCAAAACATCGGCTCTCAAATTGGGTTTTTTGACCCAACCCAAATACACAGACCCAAACCCCCCTTTTCCGAGTATCCGGCCTCGAACCCACTCACGGCCAGCAACCGACAAGCTCTGTTCTTTCTTTGGCCTTGAACTCGAACCCATTGTTTGAAAAACAAAAATTGAAGCTTTCTGATGAAATGGGTTTCTGGGTCTAACAAAACGAAAGCAAAGAGACGCAGAAAAACAGAAACTGGGTAGCAAGAGAGAGAGAATAACTCGTTGAAGCAGTCGGTGATCAACCAAAAAGACGATGAAATGTTGATGTGAAATAGAGGGCTTCGATTGCTAACGCTCAATTGTTTTTCCTTTGTGATTTGAAGCTGGTGAAGAAATCAGAGTATTGTTTTCCTGGTTGTGTTGGGTTGATTGATATAGCTTAACGCGTAACCTTCAAACGGTCATATATCTTGCGCGGCTTTCGCTTCCGCTTCAATTAATAATCTAATATAATATTTATTTATTTACTTTTGAAATCCACTGAAAAGATTTACTGAGGATTTGAAATACTTTTGTAAATCTTAAGCCACTCTGATCATGACCGTTGATTTGGGGAGATCTAGGGGTAAGGGGGAGATATTTGACCTAATTGGATTAAAATTAAATTAAAATTCAAAAACATATTAAAAAGAGCTCACGTGACTTTCACGTGACCTTTACTTACCTCAACAAAAAAGACAGAAACGAAGAAGACAGAGCTCAGAAAAAATGGAAAGCAACACAGCTCCATTTCCCTTCTCCTTTCCTTCGTCCCCAAATCTCTGAATCTCTCTCTGCCTGGAATGTTTGATTTTTCAAAGTAGTTTCTCAAAATGAAGCGCAAGAAATGGTCGGAGCTCGAAGAGCTGACCCTTCTCACCAAGTACTCGGAGCTTCTCATCTCTGGGGCTCTAGCCAAGCTCAAAACTCGTGAGAAAAAATTCAAGCCCATAGCGGACCACGTGAACTCGGTGCATCATCTTCACGATCCAGTAACCTTCCCTTTCAAATGGTCCTGGCGCGACGTCTCGATCAAGGTCCAAAACATGCGCCACCAGTACCTGGGTGTGAAGCAGAAGATCCGGGTCTCCAAGGACGAGTTCAACTGGAAAGATGGTGAAAACCACTGGGAGAATTTCTTGAAGTACAAAGAAGTGTTTGGGGATGTGGAGCTTGATGTTAAGGGCAAGAGGGCGTGCGAAAGTGAGAACCTTGATGTTTTTGGGGATTGTGGGGACTTGGGGTTTGGGATTGACTCTGAGGATTTAGAGGAAGAAGAGGACGAAGAAGAAGAAGAAGAAGAACCATTGGAAGATGATGAAGAAGAAGAAGACGGTAGCGGTGATGGCGATAATGGTCTCGTGGAATTAGGTAGGAGTGAAGGTGGTGAATTTGGGGGTCAGAGAGAAATTGGGGATGTGGGTTTTGCTCCAAAAAGGAAATTGAGTAAGGTTGGATTACATAGGAGGTTGGGGTTGGTCAGTGCACAAGTTTTGGACTTGAGGGATGTGGTGGTGAAGAGGGAAGAGAGGACGAGAGAGAGGGAGTGTAGGAGAGAGAACAGTGAGGCTGAGAGAGAGGAAAAGAGGAAAGAACTTGAGTGCAGGAGAGAGAAAAGGAGGAATGAGAGGGAGGAGTGGTTGGAGGATAGAGAATTGGAGTTAGAAGAGAGGGAGGTGATGTGGGCAAGAAAGGAATTTGAGAAAAGGTTGAGGCTAGAGAGGGAATTCGATGAGGAGCGGCGTAGAAGGATGAGGATGGAGGAGAAGAGGGAAGAGGTAGAGTTGGAGTGGAGGGAGAGGATGGTGAGTTTGCAAATTGAGCATGAGAAGCAAATGATGCAAATGCATGCTGAAGCGAGCCAGAACCAAATGCAGATTCTTGGAGTCATGGCTAGGCTAGTTTGTCAATTTTTTGGGTCGGTGAATGATGGGCTGGGAGGTGGTTTAGGGGCTTTGCCGCCTCAGGTTTTGCAAAATTTGCAGCATCCGGGGGATTTGGGCCACAATGGGAAGCCGGAGGCCAATTCACCTTCTGAGTTCCTCTAGACTGTAATTTACATGCTTGCCACATACTACTACTGTTATACCTCTAGTGAAATGTTACTAAGTTGAGTTCTATCATTTTTTATTTATTTTTTGTTTTATCTTTGTAGTACGATGATCGAAAACGTTGAATTCTTCTTGATGCCTATACTTGCAGTGACTATTCTAAATCTGTAACGATGGATATATATTTTCTTTATATTTTAGAATGTCAGCCTTTTTCAAGCAGAAGTTACCTATATTCTTTTGAATGTTCATCCTTTTCCTACTTGCTGTATTTTTCTGTCATATTAGTTCTATCTGAAACTCATTAATGTTCATGTAATAAATGATACAGTTATATATTTTCGAAAAGAAGGAATCAAGTCTTGTTGTGGTTGTTTACTTAATAGGCTGTTTCATCTGTTCTGTCAACCATATCATTGCTGGTTTTGCAAATTAACTATGAAAAGGTTTTTTTTTTTATTTTTTTTTTATTTTTTATTTTTTATTTTTTATTTTTTTTAAAAATTTGGATTTATCAATTACAACTATGAAAAGGTTTTTGTTATGGTCTGCTATTGTTGCTTTTCGGAAAAGAGGTGGTAGCCAATGTTGTTATGACACCAGAGTGCAGCTTTTTGCTTCAACCTTTGATTGTTTTACCCAGGATGGGGTTAAATATTAAGAAGAAAAGGTTGTGGTTGGAGAAAAACAAGAAGTATATTTCAGATGCTAGAAATCATTTAAATGTGGAACTATTACCATGCAGTCAAATTTCTGAACTTGGGATTGTGAGTTTCTTCATATGCTAGAAACCACATGCTGCTGCACATACTTTAGAGAACATCATTATCCTCATAACGCAACTCCGATATATCATCATGGTGGATTCAACGCTCATCATTATGACAAATATCAGGTAAGCATGCCATCCATACAATGCTTGGGCCACTAGATCTGTGCTATGTAATATACTTAAGTTTTTTCCGTTTCTTTTTTTTTTTCAGAGGAATTGTTTCTGTTTCTTTATATGTATTTTGAGCCTTTTTCTACTAGCACCTTGATTGGTTTTGGTTAATGGAAGTTGTGTCTGTTTCTCAACATTCAGCACTGAGAATTACATAATCCTTGGTATGTCAATCATGTTTCTCTTTCGTACCTTATCTTTTCACATAACATAGTAATATGGTTCAAGCAGACATATATAGTGGCACCCTTTATGAAATTGTTTTAGTATTTGTGATAGGATAAGAGTATGAGGCCTAAAGGATTTAAAGCTAGCTTTTATTCTCTTTTTCTCTTCCTCTTTGTTGTTTCAGTTTTGTTTTATCCTTTTTATTATTTGTTAATTTTAATCACAGTTTGGGAACTGCACACTTGATCAATGTCTGTAAAAGTTCTATTCATCTGTGACAAAACTGATACTGTTGTTTATTGGGTACGACTTTTGCAAAACTGGTGGAATCTGAACCCCATGGATATAAAAAAATGGGTCCCTGGAATGGATGCAATTAGTGAAAGTGTCAATCTGAAGTTCTTCCCTGTTTGTCCTGATGGCATACATGATTTATACATGGGGAGAATCACCTTACAGGACATTGATTGTACTTCATTTTGTGCATGTAGACTGAGTTTTACATTCTCTGGCTTGGTGTCTGAATTCTAGAGACTGCTGATGTTGCATGCAGATGTTGAGAGTTGTTGCAACTGCTTAACCCAGGTGGGTGCTTTATATAGATTTATATGCAAATTCAGTGCATAGAATAGAAATCTTTGCTATTACAATGCAATTTCATTTACATAGAAATCTTTGTTATTATAATGCAATTTCAGTTGCCTGTGTAATTTTAACAGGGAATGTGTATCTAGTACATGCATGATCATTATTACAGGCTGTTTGGAAGGTAATTTAAATAGATTGGAAAAAATCTCCCTGTTTTCCTAGATTTCAAGATCTTGCTTACTTTTTATCTCATTTTGTGATGATGGAAACTAGACTTTGTTTTCATAATTGTGTGGTTGGGCTTCAAAAATAGTATTCTTGGAGTGTAACTGTAAAAAACCTGGTGTTATTATTTTGAATGAGTAGCGCATACGTGGTTTATGCATAGGAAACGTGTTTTTATCTGTGTTGCTCATGTTACTTTTCCAAAATTTGGGTTGAGATAATTTCCAAAAGAGCTGCCTTTCTCTAAACAAGGATCTCAACTTTCTCTTATCTCTACCAGACCATAAACCTTTGACCTTGAGATTGAGATCAAAAGACTCTACCATCATGAAATCAATTATGCCCAGAATTTTAACTTAAAAGGTCCTCACTTCCTTCAACAGCAGTGTAGACATGATTTTCAGTTTTAAATACCAACCTAATTTTTGTCCAGATTTCATTAGGTTTTAAAAGCAGTGTGTTTGACCACTGTTCATCTGTGTTCAAATCATAGTGGGAGCTCCAGGCTCCTAGACTCTCCACTGAAGGTTCATTTGTCCATTTCCAAAGTGAAAAATTCTTTTTTAATGTTTTCCCCATTTTTCTTTTGCATGTAAAAAATAACTTGTAAAGGTGCTCATATTCCCTCCATCCTACTCTCACACCTCCTGTGACATCTTGATATGCGATTTTCTGGATGTTACCAATTATGCTGTTTGCCAAATCTCTAAAAGAATTATGGACTTTTATTTTTGGTAAACAGAATAGTGTAATTTATTGTACAGATCTTCAATGACAGTTATCTTCTATGATTTTTAAGAATTTTGTTTATTCCTTTGTCCTATCATGATGTACCATTTTCTTTGGGGCACAATCTTTGATCTTCTTTTGTAAAATATTTGAAATCTTATTTATCTTCTCTAGAACTTGTTACTTGTTATCTACTTTGTTCTGGGTTTTCGACTTTGATAGGGTTCTTATAAATTCATTGACATTGGGCTGTATGGACGTGCACTTTGGAGCTTTCTTAGATGGGTAAGAGGCCCTTTAGAGCTTAAGTTTTGGGTCTCTTCAAGGCCCTTGTAAGATTCCAGGCTTCATCCCTCTATTTAGGAAAAAAAAAGAATAGGCTTCCCTTTTTCCAAAAAGATGAATCTAATAGATGCACATTTGTCTTAACGAAATTAATTTTATGCCCTGATTACTTGGGGAGGTGCTGTTCAATCAAGTTTAGTAGACAAGTAACCTTTCTCCCTCTTTGGTTGTATACTTTTAACCTTGAAATTAGTCTTTGGAAATTCCAGTGAATCAGGGATTGAACGAATCACGTTGGCGGTAACTCTTGTTTCATTGTCACTTGACATGGTTGTTTTATCACTTGTGCCACTCCAATGTTTTTAGCTGACAACATCGTCTTTTTTATTCTGTTTTCTTTTTGTTTTGTTCTTTTTTAATTTACTTTAGGTAGTTGCACAGCAGCGTGAAATTATGACTTCCAATTCAAATTAGAAATGGAAAGACATATTTGATTGGTTGGTGTGGATGTTTGATAATTACACAGCTTTCATGTTAGATAAGTATCCCATTCCAATATGTGAATTATTTTCTATAGACCAAATTTCAAATTAATTATTGAATGGTTAGCTGTTCAAAGGATAACAGAAATTTTAAATTGTTTGTCTTACATCATCTTGTACTGACCAGTAATATAGTATCAAGACACCTTTGATGACTATTGAATTTGGCATAAAATCATTGACATCTTGTGATCCTTTTTCTTTGCCCTTTGAGATAGTGCACTCAGATTTCCATGAGTACATCAACATGGCTGAAAGCCCACGACAGTTGTGCCTGCCATGGGCTTCCGGCCTTTCTAGGTTGTTAAGGTTGAATGTATCGACACCATGTAGGCAGGCACTTAAGTCCAGAAATGTCAGTACTTACGTTCAAGTTGGGAGATGGGTGGATATATATTTTTTAAACATGAGCTCTTTGCATTATTAGATTACAAAACATTTCCATGTCAACCAGTTTTTGGTAGCAATGGTAGAACCTTGCTGGCTGCAAACTGGGTAGATATGACATTTCTTGTTTTTGCAATGGTGAATGAGGAGCAGTGTGACTTGGAGCATGCATTTTGTGAAGAAATTTCACAACGTCCATATGAATAAATGGATGAGAGTTGTCCACCTCAAAACACTAAAGCATTAGCATGATGCATGTTCATGCTACATTTTATTTGTGTCGTCCCAGAATGTCGGGAGACACACACACAAACATTTGCATAAGTTTGGTTGTATTGGGTTCGATTATGTGTTCATTAAACAAGTTATATAATTAAGATCTGTTGGTTATATTAGACATGTTTAGGGAGTGGCTGCTGCTAAATTATTGGCAACCAATGATGCTAGAAAATATGGGTCAATTAAGAGGCAGCTTATACATAGCATGTGTTTAGTGAAGATGATTTGTTAGCATAGATGAATGACACCACTGGTTTCAAAGTTTGATTCAAGTCAAAGAGCAATAGGGGTTTTGGTAGTTAAGGGAAGTACTTGATTGTTAAAAATAATAAATTAAGGTTGGCTGGAATAATATACTTTCCAACATCAAAATTAAGGTTTAATATATTGGGATTTTTGTTTTCTAGATGATTGATTGAAAGGTCATGTGAGTTCTAATAATGCTTAGGGGAAAAATCATTTTTTCTCACCATGTGGTTTGGCTCAACTTCATTATTCTGCATCAGGAGTGGAATGGTGCCACTTTTTCGTTGTGGCTTATTTCCTTACCTTCTTTGTGGTGCGTCATGTATCATCCTCACTAATCCAATCAAAAGTTTGCAAAACATTCCCTATTAATGATTTTATGGTGGATATAATAAAATTTTACACCCCCTCCTAATCCTCAAATTTGTTGCAAGTGCAAGTAATTGTAATCACTAATGCCTGTCTAGCCAACAGCATAAACCATAGCTGACATTTTATAATTGGGTTCTACCACAGGGTGGTAAAGGGTTTCACCTAAAGCTCTTTCCAGTTTTTGCTTCTGCATAAAAGGAAGTGGTATCGACCAACCAAAGTTTCATTTTCTGCATTTGATTTGTGGCTCTTCGACAAGTTGCTTTGACTGTTCTAATACATTATATGAATATAAGAAATATTGAATATCGAAACAAATGAACTTGTGAGCTAGGGACAGTAACTCAATGATTCTTAATTACATCCTTTGACTTGTAAACCAAGTTGAGATTTCTATAAGCATAGGCAGTTTAGACTGGTTGTTGCCAACTGTTGGTCAAATAGTAAAGGTAGTTATAATGCTTTTGGGAATTTCAAGGCCTCAGTATGTTCTATATTCCTTTTTCATGTTAATGAATTCTCTTGATTATTCATCACCTAGACTGTTGTATTCATATGATTGTGTAGAATGTGTAGAACGATGATTGATTCAAGTTGATGATTATTAGTTCTGAATCTGCTTGGACATTATGCTGCATAATCGGCAAGAAACAATAGAATAGAAATTGTCTGTTTTTTTCTATCTGCAGAACTCTGTGAAAGGTGACTGTTAGATGGAGCAGGTTTCATGGCCAACCAGTCCACATAAATGTGGATCAGATCCTTCTAGTGGGTACATTTGACAACAGGTGGTGTTAAATTAAACATTATGAAAGTTGAAAAATGAAAATCATGACACTGAAAAACTGAAAGGGGGAAACGATAGTGAATATGGTGGCCCCTTGTAGCCTTAAATGTGTAGCCTTTTTTCATTAATTTTTATTCAATTAATTGGTTTGAAATCCGTGTCTTGTAATTTGTTTTTTCATACATGTTAATCCTGTCGTTTCTAGGACTGTTTGTGAAAAAAAGAGTAAGAATTCTGCAACATTCCATTGTGACAGCTTTTTAGCCTCTTTTGGTAGGTAAAGCAGTTGGGAGGGAGCAGCAACTGTTACTAGGTAAACATCATCACACCTTCCTTCTATTTTACGGACACACAAATGTAATGATTTTATTTTTTAGGTGAGTCTGTAATATTAACTGGTTGTTGGGCTTTCATATCTTGTTTAACAATTGGTTTCATACCCAAGGCATTAGTATGTTTTGAAATATTGGATTCTAGACTTATTATCTTTTTCACCCACCAGTCTTACATCTGCAACTTCAACACCCAATATCCAATATCCAATATCCAGTTCTAAAAGATTAAAGCCCTACAAAATGTAGGGGTCCTGCTTAAAACCTCTCTGGCTGAGATATTGCATTTTGATATGTATTTTAAGTAATTTTCTTCTGTCAAATATCTGGATGGATATCCATTCGTGCTCATCCTTATCTTACATATGTTCCCCACTTGCCCCCCACCACCTCTGTGCTGCTCACAGCTTCATAAAATTTCACTTTTGTAGTTAGCAATAACCTAAAATTTCAGTGCAAGTGGACAATACATTAAGATTTCTGTTTGTTGTTTAGCCTTGATTTTGTACGTAGTGAATTCAGTTCCTTATTAGCGGACCTCGAAACCTTCTCAAGATTATACTAAGGGCCAAGCTGTTGAATGTTTCCTTTTTGGTACTTGTGTTTCGGAATTTTTTACTGGTTGTCTTTTTAACTTTTAAGTTTTAACACTTCTTGCTTCACTTGGAGCAGAGTTGCAATTTATTTTATTTTCTCTGGCAGGTGTTGGAGTCTGAGGTCCTGGTTTCTTAGGATTCCTGACCTTAAAACTTTGTGTGTATATTGTTTACTGTTGTTTCCCTTTTCTAGTACTATAAAACAATGAAAGAAACTTGTACGCCTAGTAAAAGTCACCCCTGTATTTCTAATGGGAAAACTGCATCTGCTTTCAAAATTTGTGTAGGTGAGGATAGAAAATAGAAGAAAATGAGCCATTTGAAATGGTAGTTGAATATGTTGCTAGGCCTTTGGCTTGGATGGTATTGGGAATATGGGGTGCCTTGAGAGAATGGTAGGTCCAAAGTTTTGCTGGGACTAGTGGAGGTTGATTATGAAAAAGATGGATCAAGTACGAGACTCATAGAGATGGTCCCTTCTGGTTTACAAGACCCTGCACAATATTTATTTCTTTATTTTTTCGTACGCACCACATTTAGTACGGTGAAGAGATGGTCTTGGCTTCGATTGGAAGGGACCATTTTATCCATTCGGGCTCAAGTGAAGTGACAAACTATCATTTCTTTCTTCTTGATATAAAATATATTATTTTATTCATCATGGGACGTTGTATTGCAGTAGTATTTTGTCAACCTTATTGAGGAGGTCTTTTTAGTTCGAATTAAATTAGGGATCCCATGTCAAAGAGGGTGCATCATGCGTGAGTGTAACGTTCCTATTTTGGGTTTGAGAGGACTTCTGCCTATGAGTAAACTTTTAGGTTGAGAGGACACTTTTATGGGTTTGCCGGAAATAACAAAATGCATTTGTTTTTCCTGTTCCTTTTTATTCCCCCTCGATTTGCTATTGTTCTTTTTTCTTATATGAACAACTAAAACACATGCAAGAAGTTACACACAAACATGGGAAAAAGTGTTCTCAAATTATACACTAAATACCCTAATCTAAACCCCATAAGTTAATGTCCAAGCTCTTTTAAATTGAGAACATCTCCTTTTTTGGCAATAAAAAACAAACAAGGTTCTGCACAAAGTCACCATAGTTAGTAAACGGGACAAGTATAAAACATAATATGTACGTGTATTATTCGACAAACTTCTTAAAAAATATGCGGTATTTTATTCGGGCAAATTTCTTAGATGTGATCCAAATTTACATTTCCATTGCAACATTTGCTTGACAATAATGTCAAGGGAAATTCTGGTCCACTTCGGGCTATTCTTTATCATCTTGTATTGATTATCTGGAATTAATAACAGTCCTCCTAATCCAAAAAAAAAAAAAATTGTTAAGGAAAATTCTATTGCCACCCCGAATTTGTTGAAACCGCCCCTTTAATTTTTAGCCTAAAGTGTCGATTTTACCCTCCCATAACTTTCTTCGCTTACTTAATAGCCCGCTGGCCCCCACAAAAGGGCTAGCGACAGTGGAAGGTGGGGTTGGTCTCAATAGGTAAGCTTGGAAATTTGGATAGGGGTAGGTTTCAATCGATTGGGTGCGAGAATTATAAATTTTAAAAATGTCACCTCATTAAAATTAAATTAAATTTAAGAAATTAAATTGGAGACCTCATCCTAAGCCTAGGCGCGGATCAGTTTGAAAGAGTAGATGGCTATTCTGTTAATCAAATCAAAGATTTCGGTAGACCATTTTCTCTTTTATTAACTAAACCAAAAACTTCGGTAAACTTCAAATTGGTTAGCCTAACATTCAGTTCGGATTTGTTTGATATGCCGGTAGTACCGTAATAAAAAATACTAATAAAAATACAATTTATAATTGTTTCACATTACATAAGTTCTTGAACAAAAATACCAAATTATCCTTGTAAAATATAAAAATTCAATAGTCTAATTCATCCTAGTACGAAATCAAATAATTTAATCACTATACCATTCAATATATACTCAAGATGTACTGGGAGCCACTTGCTCTTTCATTTGGGAATCTACTCATACACCATTAAACAAATTATGAAAATAGAAAATAGTACACAAATGAATGCATAGGATCATGTGTCCTGAGCCACTAAAATTAGAGTTTAGTTACATTTTAAACATTAGAATTAGGTCCCCTTTTGTTTGTGTTTGTTATTTGAAACTTTGAGTGTTCTTTTTACTTAATTCTGTACATGTATGTAACTGATTTTGACATTTGGTCTGCATTGGATTCTTTAGTTTAACATGTTGAATTCAACCTTATAAAGAACATAAAATTTGGATTAACGGTTGGAAAGTTACAGGTAAAAAGCAGGACAAAGGTCGAAACTGGAAAACAGAGGAAGTTCATAAATTCCTCTATGACCTAAAAGTGCTACAGTACCCGGGTAATAAAGAAGCGATACATAGGTGATACAAAAGGTTGATTGTGTTTACCTTTGATTTTTTTGTTTTGTATTTAAATAATAAAATAAGTGTAAATATCATATCAGTACGAGTTTCCATCGGGTTAGGGATATTGTTACTTGTTAACCAAACCAAACATTTTGATACGGGTCAGATCGGAATAATTTAAATTTTAAAAATAATTATTTAGCCAAACCAAACCAAACCAAACCGTTGGTACGCGGATAATTGAAACGAGATGCCCACCCCTACTCCATACTTAAAATAAAACCCCAATTTACTCCAAATTAAAAAAGGAAAAAAAAAAAAAAAACAAACAAACAAACCTAACTTGACTAACGCCTAAACTTAACATCTATAGCAGTTTTTTTTCCTTCTTCTTCCTTCTCTGCACGTCTCCCCCCAACCCCAAAAGGAACTAGCTCCAAGGGTATAGGAAATTGAATCATTAAGTTCACCCAAATAATAGAAAACCTAACATAATTCATGTATAAAAATATATAGAAGTATAGAAAACTCTACGTATTCAAAGAAAGAAACAGGGAATTTATGCCCATAAATGTTGAAGATAGACAAAGTCTTCAAAACCTACAAGTCAAATACAACTAACTCTCTGTTCTACAAAATGTGAAATCGGTGGAAGTTATAACACTCATATTATTGAAAAAAAACTTTGGTTTATGCCGCGGTAAAATTTTGGGTGAAGTTACGTTTTGCGTCAATCAGTATGAGACAAAAAAGCGAATTTGAACCACTCTAAAAACAAGAGTAAACTATAAGAAGAAGAAAAAAGGTATAATTTAATGGAAATTGCTTAATCATTGTTACAGTACTCTCTCTAAAAAAAAACCTCCTAGAGCCGTTTTCACTTTGAGGGGGAGGAAGCCACTGTTCTTCCTCCCCTCTCCTCTCTTCTCTTCCTCACTCTCTTCTCCCCTGATTTTCAGAGACAAAGGTTTTCTCTATTTGTCTTCGTTTTGTTATGATTTTCCTCCAACCACCATAGGCGATTGTGTTTCAGCATCAGATCTCCACCACCATCTTTTTTGCGGTTTCTTGATGTTTGAAATAAGTCACAAAGACTCTTTGGGTTCTCTATGTAGTTTTCACCTCTCCGTTTGTGAGAGCTTTTCACCTCTCCGTTTGTGAGAGCTTTTCATCTCTCTTTTGTGAAAGCTTTTCATCTCTTCTTTGTGAGAGTTTTATTTGTATTGTTATGGTTTGAGTTTTTCAAGCTTTATCTTTTTTTTATTATTTTGAGTTTGCAATCATAGTTGGGATGCCTATGCTAGAGTTTCTTTGATCATGTGTGATCGTTAGTGGAGGCACACCAGATTGTCTTAATTTTGATATTAGATTGCTCCGTTATTATAATGACCCTTATGGCTAGTGACTTTTTTGACTGAATTATGAATGTAATCCAAGAATTTCTCAAAAAAACAAAAAACAAAAAAACATAAGTAAACCACGTTGTAGAACTCAATATGATAATGCAACATTGGCTGGAAAAAAAAAATGAGTATAGCAATAATACTGTTGGGTTTAGGGCTTTTGTTTACACAATAACCACATCTAAGGCTTAATGGGGTTTCACTTTAGGTTTTAATTTTCGAGTTTATTTGTGGGTTTTGTGGGTTCATAACTGAGGTTTTGCTTTCGCTTCTTCTTGAGTCATTAACCATATAAAAACCCTACTAAGATATTGAAAGGAAACCAATAAGGAGTCGAAAGATTGGTCAAATAATACTATTTGTGGACACACTTGCGAGACTCATTTTACATTATAATTCAATGACCCAAGTCGTTTTCTTTCTAAGCTTTCGTTCAAAAATTGGCATTGAAAAATATTATTTATAAATATAAATTGCTTAGTTATTTGATTATCATACCATTTCAATATATTTATCGATAACACACCATTTCATATATTAATTTTATCATTTTCATGTATTATTACTTTTAATCCTTAGTTATATATAATAGTAAATAGTCAATTTAGATGATGGACTGATCGAAAGACCAAGGTCTATGATGATATTCAACCAGATAACGTTAATTAATAAGAGGAAAGGAGCTGTATGCGCATCAAGTATATATTTTATTCCAGAAAAAGCAGCACCAACCAAAATGTTGTCGGGTTGGAAACCCTAGTGATGATGCTATTTGTGAGTCATCAAGCCAAAAGCAGCCTTGGAACTATATATATTACATTTTACGATCATGATGATCACGATGAGGACCAAAAGCCTATGAGCTCTGTGTATAGCAATATGGTGGATATGCTCTAGCCCTTTCCAGTCTGATTCGGACATCATAACATTCTGATGAAATGCTTTGATGATCTTATGACCCGTACGCTCTCACTTTTGAATCTGTCTTTATATGTATGTATGAATTAACGTATAATAAGGATACTACGAGTTATTTTTTTGGGCTTACACGTGATATCGTGATACAGACCACCCAGTTTTAAGTATCTTTTAAAATTATGATGAAGAAAAATTATCAGTCAAATGAATTAACAATTTCTTAGCTATTTGATTATTATCCCGATCAAATGATGAAATAAAAAAGTTGGGTATCTTTTTACCTTTCTAATGTTAATAAATAAAATAATCATCGCTATCCTTAATTATAAGTTCAATCATACATCTATATCATTGCAGATGAATCTTCTTTATGGCTCTTCTAGACGAACACCAGAACAGAATATAATTTATACATATACAATTCCATGACAATATGAAAACAAATTAATGAAGAACTAGGGTTTTAGTGAAATAATATTCGGAATTCTAGAAAACATGTGGAATGGAAAATGACATATACTTAACGGTAAACAACTGACTATAAAGTCTACAAAGAAGGCACACACACACGACCTGATCTTCTTCAAGCCCGTATGACTTTGTAAGAGTGAGACCCACCTAAACAGCCAAAACCACCAGTCCAAGTCAACCGTCTCATTTCTCACCTCCCTTCTCTCTTCATGAAGCAGCTCTCGCGCGCTATATCTACGCCCATCTTCTGCCTTTACATGGGCCTCTCTCTCTCTCTCTCTCTCTCTCTCTCTCTCTCTCTGAGCGAAAATGAGAAAACCTTGCTGTGAAAAAGAAGGCACAAACAAAGGAGCTTGGTCTAAACAAGAAGACCAAAAACTCATTGATTACATTAAAGCTCATGGGGAAGGCTGTTGGCGATCTCTCCCCAAGGCTGCAGGTGTGTCTTGTGTTTGAACAACATGAGTTGTGTGCATTTTTATTTTTTGTATATAGAAATAATAGTCTACGTTGTGTTCTTTTATGTTCCAAATTATTGATGACTTATAATTTGTGTGATGTTGTATTATTAGGGTTGCACCGCTGTGGCAAAAGTTGTAGGCTAAGATGGATAAACTATCTAAGGCCAGACATCAAACGTGGAAACTTTGAGCAAGATGAAGAAGACCTCATCATCAAACTACATGCCCTTCTTGGCAACCGGTATGTACCATCAATCTTTCCTTCCCCTCTTTCTCGTGTCAAATATTTAGTAAATAAATATGTTGACCAGACTGTCCGATAAGAAGTGAACATTTTCCTACATATATGACGTAGATATTCACATGTGTTAAAAGTGTTAGCGCGTAATTATAAAGGTCAACTATATAGCTAATGGTGAAAGTTTCGTGCATGGGCTGTTAGGTGGTCGCTTATTGCTGGAAGGTTGCCAGGGAGGACGGACAACGAGGTGAAGAACTATTGGAATTCTCACATCCGGAAGAAGCTAATTAAAATGGGCATTGATCCCAATAACCATAGGCTAAACCAGATCATTCCTCGTCCTAATCCTCAAAGCGACTGTGTTTCTGCTGCTGCAACATCATCTGGTTCAATGAGCAATATTAGTGCATGTACTAAAGCACCAATCAAGTCTTCACGTGAAATTGATCAAAGGGCCTCACAAGCTACAAGTGTTCTTGAAGATGAAACTTCTGGTTCATCATCTCGTGACTTGAATCTCGACCTCACCATTGCTTTTCCTAATCCTCCGCTTCAAGTTGGGGAAGAGATGCAAAAAAATATTAAAGGGTCCTTCACTATGGCGAGAGAAATCGAAACCAACCTTCAACATTCACCCACTCTTGCTCTTTTTAGATAATACATATAATTTGGAGAAGGAGATGAATTGATCTCTAACTAGCTGATCTTGGACAGGAATTGGAAAAGGAGGGAATTAAAAAGGGAATTATTGTTTGGCTGATCAAGAACTTTGGCTAGTATTGACAGATAGCTAGCAAAATTGTGACTAATGGAGGCATTAACATGGAGATAAGGGCCAAACACTTCACCATGAAGGCAGCTAGAATATTGATCCCATTGTATGATAATCTCATTAGGCTATATAAATTCTTGGATGTAGCATACAAATTGGAGATGAACTGCAAAAATCAGTTGATCACCAAGAAATGAATATGCATGGGAAGGGAAATGTGTGGTGATTGTAATTTGTATTCAGGCTGGGGAAAATTGATGTTGAATGACAAATAAGCTAGAGGAGCACTATATGGTACATATCTTATTCTATAGGAGTTATAGTTTTAAAACTATGATTGCCAATTGAACATACATATTTTTGTTGCTTAAATATTCTTTCCATTTGCATTTCTTTCCCTTTTATTTTTCTCAAATGATAATTTTCTCTTATAATTGTTTCCTTAGTTATAATGATATAGTTATAGATTTATGAATTAATCTTAGACATTTCTTAGCATGTGAAAGTTAGGTATGTGAAGGCTTGGTAATTCCAATATTAACACAGGAATTGGGGTGAAGAGCATCTTTAACACCAAATCAGGGTGCTGTTGGTTTCCAGTCATAAAGCACAAAAATCTGTCAACCATATATATATATAAACCTACACAATACTGATTTTAATTTGTATAGTAGTACATTACAGATAATAAAAGTAATCTCATCAACGGGTCTAGCACAATGTGTGTGAGAAACCCCTTCTCCCTTGTAGTTTAAACTATCGCTTTTATTTAAGAAGAAGAGTAAAGCAATCTCATTAATCTCATTATAATCACTTAATTAGTATATTGTGTTATTCTATTTATTTCTTCACAGTTAAATGATCAAATGGTGGATTCCGATTCGATTGATTATATTTTGAACGGATAATCCTTGACTGGTGACTCGATAATTAATATACAGTTCCGATCATTGGATTCATCGAGAGGTGGTGTCAATACAATTTTTTTTTTCTCTTCTTAAAAGATGGAGATCCATTGTTAAAGGGGCCAGGAACTATAGCTTAATGGGGTCCCCTCTAGATGTCATCAAACCTAGGAGTCTTTCATATGAAATGAACTCCAAGAAGTACATACTATAGCAACTAAACAATTGCTGATTGCATAACAGACATAGTTATCCGCCGTGATTAAATGTTAAGGAAAGTAGGCCATCATGATCAAAGACAAGATTTAGATCCTCCAGTGCTTTTAAACATGTGCAGTTTCCTGAATTTTGAAGCAAAAGTCTTACCATCCAATTAATCTATTAATGGCTGAAACCCACTCCACAATCTCCTTTTTCTGGTCCGGTCATTTTCTCTCCGTCTCCCTCTCGTTCACATTGGACCATGCATCGCACACTGAGATCTCTCTTCCTCACCCACTCATTCTCATCTCTTTCTGTTTCTCCTTCAACACTCATCCGTCTTCTTTCTTTAATGCTTCTGGTGCATTATATCATGCATTGAAGGGAGGAATAGACTAGATTAGAAAAAGTGCTTACATTTCATATGCCTAACTTGGTGGAAGAACTAAGACTATCTTCATAAGAGGTTAATGACTAAGACTTATCCCCTCCCTAATCCCCTTGAAATTGGTGGGATTATTAGGGATAAGTTTTAGTAATCAACTTCTTATGAATAGTCCTTCCTCATCCTCCAAGCTATACAACAATATCCATATTATGTCTTGATTACATCAAATATGAGCATTTTGCTAGTCTAATCTAGTCCAATCTAGTCCTCCTTAACAAACAAGGCCTTATTGTTTTATTAATTAGCTAGGCGTCATCACGAGACTAGACAAATTGCAAATTTAATTGTAAATTAATCATTTTAACATAATTGTGGTTTCTACACTAATACTGTGAATCATACATTGGAAAATTAAAGCTTTACCTTATGGTAAACTTTACTTAATAGTTTAAAAGATCTTGAGCCTCTTCACACATTGTCAATTAATTTTGAATTAGATGCTCGCATCGCATTTTTTATATCAATTGTATAATTGCACATTCTATTTTTGTATTTCATAATCAAGAATAGTTTTCCCCCCTTTACGTAAAAAATAAAGGATGAACCAACAGTGTCTAACCCAGTAGAAAGGGTCTTAACTCATAGACCAATGGTATCAGATTTGAACCCCCGTGACATCTTGACAGTGTATGTGAAAAAAACCCCTCTCCCAATATCACTTTTATAAATAAATAAAAACGAAACAAAACAAAAGGACAAAGATGAAAGATGGAAAAACCCTATATGAAAATTGCAGATGTGGATGATAGAAATGAGGCGAGGGGGTTTTGGGGTTAAAATCTTGTGGTAATGTGATAGGTGAAGGCCGGTAGGTTGGTTAGCTGGTAGGGATTCGTTTAAATGCAGCAAACTGCATGCACAAGTTTTATGGCAAAGGAGAGTTAGATCGATCTGTAAGCACAAATATCGCTGCCTAAAGTTCTCAACAGCTCGTCAAGCCTCAAGGACACAATTCCCACATAATCCAATTATAATGGTTCACAAATAATCCATAAATTCAAAGGTCCACACGTTGGCTCTCAGCTGTCATAAATGTCGAATTTACACGTGTAGCCACCCTTTCGGCCCACCAAGGATATTTTTGCCACATCAATGTCACTATACTGTAAGAGGGCTTTGACGCCAAGCCAGAGCACTGCATGGCTGATTTAGAATGGGAGAAAGTCTTGGGTGTTTTTATATAGAGAGCTGATTTTTCTACTTCTCATTTCTCTACTTAAACTCTCATTTGTTTTTTTAATATTTTTTAATTAATTTTGTTCTTTTTTTACTCTCATTTGTTTTTTTAATATTTTTTAATTAATTTTGTTCTTTTTCTTTCCTAGTCTACCCTTACCCTACATTAATTTCTTTTTACTTCACTTTTATATTATTTCTTTTTCTTTATATTTAATTTTCCAACTTACACTCTATTTTTAGTTTTTTTTCTTCCTTTAATCGAGTAAGAAATAATTAACACTTATATTTGTCTAGGCAAAATTACATGGTCCACCTGCAAAAACTCATCGCCATGAATAAACCTTGCATCCATAGTTTTATTTTTATTTTTAAAAGAAACAAATTTTAGGTGGCCACAAAGAAATAGAAATGCCTCTAACAAAAAAATTTTACATTTTCTTTTTCCATGTTCTTCTCTGTCATAACCTTTCAGAAAACATATATTGAATGAAATTGATGAAATTGTGGACATGAATTGAGTTATCATAATTTCAGAAAATGAAATTGAGTTTGAGACTATGAGTTTCAAATTCACATTAATGGAGTTCTCTTTGTTTCATATGAGATCATTTCATACATTCATTTTGTTTGCATACCTTCTCAAAAAGTACAAACAACCAGGGATTGAAGAGAAAGAAAAAAACAAAAAAAAATGGGTACCTTCTCGCACTCATCCAATTCCATTTGGGTGTACGTGTCCTTCTGTCTAACTCTATGCTTGAGGAAAAAAAAAGAGCATGTAAAATGTAAACACAACTACTAGAAATATGAACATAAGCTTAAAAAGTGCAATGTACTAAATTTGCATTAGATATGTTGTCACTTCAAATTGACCAATATGCAAATTTACCAAATCATATTGGTAAACAAGAAAATCTAATTTGTCAACCAATCTAACTAGATAACAAGAAGTCATTAATGGATCCCACTTCATGTTTCAACTAGGAACATGTGATAGGGTAGGGAGTAAGCCATGTACCACACAGAAATACCCTCTTTTGAATTTCTTGCAAATTGGATTGAGGTTCAGATAAATAAAAGATTTCAAATATATTATTTTCTTATAGATGAAATTAAACTCTTAAAGAAATAAGCCATGTACCATAAGTGCAAATATATACCAAGTAGGCACAACATTTAAGAGTAAGATAAGAATTCATAAGCCATACGTACCATAAGTGCAAATATATATTATTGTCTTATGATACAGAGATTGAAAATTTGCAAAAACAGAATTCATAAGCAAGAATCAATTTTTTTTTTTTGGTTAAGAATAAGATAAGAGTCAATGGTGAACCATATGCAACCAGACCTCAGCATATCAAGTGAGAACAAAAAGAAGAAAAACATAATAAGAAGAATTACGGTCTGCATTTAGATATAAAGAGACATAGCATATGCAAATTTTATTGTTTCCAACCCTTTTTCCATTCAAGAAGCTCCTCTTAAAAATTCACATTCATGGCTCCCGAAACAATTTATAGACCAAGCATGCCCTAAAAATGCATAAAGAGCAATATAAGTTCAAAGATTCGAAAGGAAAAACAAGAAAGGCAATGTCTACCTAGTGTTTATCTGAAAACACAATGCATGAGCTACATGATAAGATACAGTTAAGATAGAGTCCAAAAAACAAAACAAAAAGAGGATGACCCACATGGCTATCCTCAGTATGAGGGATTACTGCTTTTTTGAGTTTGAAAAAGTTATTATACAAGGGTAACCAAGAAAAAAAAAGTCCATGACCGGTGCCATGTCGATAATCAAGACCATTCTTCCACAAAGAAACTCGAGCAAGCATATTTAAATGTATTCAGTTAAGACAAATTTAGAAAACTACACATGAAACATCTCATTTAAATGTGAAAGAAATAAAAAAAGACAAAAGCATGAATACCACTGGTTCCATTATGAAAACCACGGCGGGTTGTACCACCTTCTAAGCCCTCCTGAAGACATAGGTTTGTGGATAAATAAAATACAAATTTATAAATAAAATTACAGCGGATACAACATCTAAAAAGTTTAAGGCACACAACGTGATGGTTTTTAAATTCAAGTTACATGAACATAAAAAGACAACACTTAGTTTATAAGAGCATCTCCAACCGATGTGTCAAACGTGCCACATAGATGTTTAACAGCTAGAAATAACATCTCACATCACTCCAACCGATATGTTAAAGCTGATGTGGAATGAAGGCTAGAGGTTGAGATGTTATTTTTGACATCTCAAAAGCAAGATGTCAAATGAATATTTTATTATTTTTTAAAGACAGCTGACTATTACTTTCATTTATTATTTTCCTTTTTTATTTTTTTTATTCTTTATCTTAAATGATTTGACTGTTACAATAATTATTTATTTGACATATCGGGTGGAGTGTAAAAGTATGTAAATGTCAAATTGCCACCATCAAATTTAAATTTGATGTTTGGTATTTGACATCTCCCTTGGAGATGCTCTAAGTTCTTAAATTTTGAAGATAATTACTTACCCAAAATTTTACAAGTTCTTAACCTTTTG